AGGTGCAAATTAGATTCTGTGTTAAAGGATTCCTTTGTGGGATCTTAACATGCCTCTTAGATGCTCCTTGAATGTCATATATTCACACCTCGGGTATGAGTATGACCTCACTAGAAGGTAACCCCTCAATAATATCTGGAGTCCAGGTCTCAGCTTCATTACCAGAGGCTTTAATAATGGGGTGGCTTAGGAGAGCTGCAAATTCACAAGCAATATGAAGAATAATGTATGATTTTTTTTTTTTTTTTTACACTGAAAAAAGTGTTTATTCCCTTTGAATTTCATAATCTGTTGATTAGCCCAGCTATGCAAATGTAACAGACAAAAACAATAAAAGACGAGCAAAGCTATAAAAAAGTTGTAGATTTAGGGGAGCAGCATGTTGCTGGTAAAAAGTAACGAGGTCTGCTGCATGAAGGTTTTGGTGAAAGTTTGGAAAATGTCCATCTTTTCAGCTGTAACCTGTAAGCTTTGTTTTAAACAGACATTTCATTGAAGGTTTCTCTTTACATTGCAGTAACTGTTAGCTGCTATGATTTACTGGGAAATAAAAAGTTACATTTTGTGAATGATGTGAAGGGTCACAATGTAAGCTACAGTAAAGGCTTCTCTAGAATTCCCTACACTCTTCCTTTGCTGCACAAGGTTCAGAGAATCACTGACATACAGGGATTCTGTGTGTCATTGAAAATCATTAAAAGTCTTTAAATTATTATTTTTTAAATTAAGGCCTTAATTTGCTTTAAAACTCATTAAATGTGATTATAGTGGCATTTAAAATGCTTTATTAAAAAATTAAAAAAAAACGCTTATAAAAACAATTTCGTCAGATATATATCAATATATTTGCACAGAACTGCTTCTGGTTGATTTTAAAGTCGTTTGTATGGAAAAGAAGCTTGAGGCGGAGAAAAGGCTAGAGAATGGGAAAATACAAATGTTGATGGCATTAAATTAGAGTTACTCATTCCTGTATAAACCCTGGAAATAGCTTTTTCAAGGATCTCCAAACATTTAGCAGTTAATCAAATGTACGGCCAATAATTAATTAAATATAAGTTCAACGAATCGTGGATTTGATCCATAACCAGAAATCATTAATTTAAAAAGCACTGATATATGAATATGTGTGTTTATATACTAGCAAGTGCCCTCATGGAAATCTAGTGTGTCATCTGTGATGTATTTGTAAAACATAGATGTTCTAGTTGAGTGTCCCATTTTCATTTTAAATACAGTGTGATTATTGTAGATTGACCTTGAACTGGTTCTGATTGAGGCGCACCTCTGCTAAAAATTCCAGTAAAATTTGTTCATAAGTTTTAAAGTAATTCTGCTAACAAAAAAAGAAACATGACTGAAAACATAACCTCTTTCTAGGTGTAGTGCTGGATTCAGACTTGAACCTCCAAAAGCATTTAAAGACAATTACAAGGTCGGCTTTCTATCACCTGAAGAACAATTCCAGGATTAAAGGACTAATGTCTCAGCATGATCTGGAAAAACTAATCCATGTGTTTATTTTTAGTTGAATTGATTACTGCAATGGTGTTTACACAGGTCTGCCTAAAAAGTGGATCAGACAGCTGCAGCTGATCCAGAACGCTGCTGCCCGTGTCCTCACTAAGACCAAGAAAGTAGAGCACATCACCCCAGTTCTAAAGTCCTTACACTGGCTCCCTGTATCTCAGAGAATAGACTTTAAAATACTTCTGTTAGTCTATAAATCTCTGAATGGCTTAGCACCTAAATACATCACAGACTTGCTATCAGTGTATCAACCCTCCAGACCACCCAGGTCTTCTGGCTCCAGCCTGCTCTGCATACCTAGAACCAGAACTAAACATGGAGAAGCAGCATTTAGTTCCTATGCTCCACTTATCTGGAACAAACTTCCAGAAAACTGTAGAAGTGCGGAAAGCCTGAGTTCCTTTAAATCAAGACTAAAAACACATTTGTTTAGGATTGCCTTCGACTTTTCTAGTTAAACAGTTCAACTAAAACATCATTAGTTTAACTTTATTTTCTTTAGTCCAACTGTTTTTAATGTTCTTTTTTGTTTCTGCATTTTTTTTCCTACTTGCTTTTATTGTTTTATTTTCCTATATTTTAATCTTCTAAAGCACTTTGCATTGTCTTTGTACTGAATTGTGCTATACAAATAAATTTGCCTTGCCTTGCCTTATCTCCTTGGTGGAGGTAAAATAAACAATTTATTTGATCTTTTTCTACCACTAGTTGATGCGTTTATAGCTAAACACTACAGATATGCCTTACTATTCTTATTTTTATTGCTTCTACAGGATATCAAGTCGCATAAAAAAACTAACAAATTTAGATTAGCTGTTTAATTTTACAAATAAATAATACAATTTCTAATGGCAATTATATGCCTATTTTGGGAAATGCTCTTCACTGTGAAAGATTCATTCCATATTAGCAAAGAATCTGCCCCATTTGAAATAAATCATTTTTCTCAATTCAAACTTAGTACAAAAAAAAAAATTGGGGGGTTTCTTGTCAGTGGATTGATGGTAATCTAGATCCGTTATATGAAAACTTTCACTCTCATCTTGCTCTACATTCAAACTGACACATATATTCACATAATAAAGTCGAAATCCATGTAGTTTTTATAACCAGTTTTAATTTACATAAAATCAAAATTAAATGCATCAAACTCATCATTGAACAGCTCCTGTCAGACATCTTTATATTCAAGCCTGATTAGTGATAAAAAGTAGCGCATAAGTGTTAGAGGTGTTGAGTGCAACATACAGAGAGGGATAAAAAGGTGAGAACGCTAACCACAGTGTTTCTTCAAAAACTCAAATTAACTCCCCGCCTCTCTATTCCCTTTAATGCTACAAACCAAAGATAATGAGCCCATAAACATTAGCAGTCTGTAAAATATTTACTTGCTCTTGACTGTCCTTCCTGTAGCGCGACTTTCTGAAGGAGTCAGATTACAGAAGCAACACATTTTTCATGTAAAAACTAGATTTTTTTTTTAAGACTCAGATTCCCAGAGTTCCAAGTTTTTGACATTCATTTAAAAACAGGACAAATCAAAAGGAAGGAAAGAAGAAAGAAAGAAAGAAATGTAGGAGGGACACAAGGAAGCAAAGAGGCTCCAAGAAAAGAGAGAAAGTATAAGGAAAGAAGGAAGGAAGGACACAAGGACGGTAACTAAAGAAAAAGAAAGAAGAAAGGAAACAAGGAAAGAAGATCACATTTAGACAATGAAAAACAGAATATGGAAATATATATATATATTTTTTTTTATAATCACTTTTGTTCTCTGGAAAATACCTGAAGTGTAAATCCAGACTTTTTCCAAACTATGCAGGAACCCTGTAAGTGTAACTGAGCCTGGATGATTGATCAATTAGGGCCTCAGGGGCCCCTCATCACAGAGCATGCTTATGGGCCCTTTTCTCCAGCATCACAAACATTCAAACGGCTTTTCTCTCTTTTCTATTTCCATGACAGATTGTAACGGAGACGCCTCTAATCCGGATTACCATTTCTTCTTGCTCGTATCCCTCCATCATCTCTCAGCTTACACTATGGATCTAGAGAAGTATGAGAGTCTTAAGAGTGCGAGAAAACTAGCCTTCAAACATGCTGATATCCCAGTATGGACGGGAGGGGAGGGGGGGAATGAATCCGTTTCAGCTAGTTAAGGTTTAGCTGATTTGATTTAAAAACATAAATAATATAAATATTTCTGGCTCCAGGCCAGATTTTCTCAATGCTTTCCAAACAGGAAACTTCTGATTAGAATCTGATTCACAGGCTTGTTCTCTAAATTAAAATTTGTCAAATTAACTTATTATTAAAAATGGACAAAAAACAAAAAAGATTTGCAAAGTGCTCTACTTCCTTCACCCAATGCATAGCATACTGGATGCTTCCAGCCTCAGAGTTTGTGTTAAAACAAAACTCAGACGCCCCCCAAGAAATCCAAAAATCTAGAGTATTTACAAGGCGTTTCTGTTACCGCTTCTGTCCTCCTCGGCTTCACTGCCAGGTCGGACCATAAACGACTTATTTAAAAAAAAGATAAACTTGAGAACATATCCTGTGCTCCCCCTCAGCAAAAACAGACAGAAAATCCTCCATGTAGGTTAAGACAAACGGCAGGAGCAGTTAGAAAGGACTGCAGCCTGATCAGAGGACGCCGTCTCTACAGCAGACACACGGAGGATGGAGGGAGGGAGGCGTAGCGGGATGCTGGTGAGCCTCTTAGCAGAAGATGAGAGCTTCCTGGATGGTGTTAGGAGAAACAGAGAGGTGTGTGGCAGATCAACCAGTCCGTCTGCGTTCGGAATGACATGAGTGTGATATGATATGTTAAGAAAGCATAAAGTCTTTCGCAGCCCTTTTCTCTCCATTCAGCCCTCTGTTCGCTGCACCGCTCTCCTCTCAGGTCTCTGGGTTGGGGGTGGCGAGCAGCGGCACGTTGTCCCTCCTCCTGCGGCCCAGCGGGGGTCGTCTGTACTGCTCCCCGTCCCCCAGCGTCTGAGGCAGAGGCTTCCTCTTGCTCTCTGGCAGCAGCAGGATGGAGAGCACGGCCAGGAGCGCCAGAGACGAGTAGATGACGTGATGCAGGAAGTAGCCGTAGTGGTTCCTCAGGTCCATGATGGGGGAGCTGAGGCGGCCCACGCAGCCCAGGGCGAGCACGGCGCCCACGCCACTGCCCCTGGAAACACAGAGTGTCCTCTTTATCAACACTGACGTATAACTGGGGTCAGAAAATCCCCTTTAAACCACAGGATCACAATAATGTTACATGAAATATCAAAATATAAAGCAGCTAAACAGCTGGTTGGCTTTCCGGTGTGATTTCCAGTATTCTGTAGTTCATTCTGACTGGAAGGTTTCCTGATTAAATCTCTAAAGCTCAGAGATTTACAGAAACTTATTGTTTTTTCCAGAGGAGCTGTTTTAATTATTGTTATTACAAGTTGTTTTAATATTACCTAACCACATAATGCTTCTAGCGATGGTATTTTTTAAGAATATTGTCTCTTTTAGGCTGAAAATAACTGATTGGTTGATTGTAACTAGTTAGTTTAATTCTTAAAGGAATTTGTTTTCAAACACAAACTCTTCATGAACTCATGTTCAAACTATTTAGTTAGTTTTCAGACTTTTGACTATAAGTGACGTGTTTATTTATGGGTCCTGCACACATTTATACGTTAAGCTGTTCCTATTTTTCAAGGGTGAAATAACTGGAGATTTCAGATATTTTTTTTAGTTTAAAATCAAAAGTTAATTTTAAAGTAAGGGAGGATGTTTTAATCGTGGTCAGGCTTCAATCTTCCATAGATTATCCCTTCATAATATTGATGCTCATTCAACAGCTACCAAGACTCACAATGAAAGCACTTTGTCATCATTTAATTCTCTCATTTAATGTTTCTTTCACTTGTTTCCAAAAACATGAATCTGAGTCCATCCTTGTTCCTCATTCCTCGTAAACAAAGCAGAACACAGATTAATTTGCTTGAGATAATAGTTTCCCTTAAAAATCAAGCTCAGAGATTTCAAGAAACTCAATGTTAGCTTAGCTTATTGTTTAGAATCAATCCTACCAGTTTTCATTAAAGTTAAATATCTTAATCTTAATATTTAAGGTGTTTTTAAGCCAAAGGTTCTACTGGGCCTCCTAATAATGGTTTAAATTATATAAAGAACCAACCAAAGTAGCTCTTAGAAGTTTTAGTGGGTTTTAAAAAGATATTTGATTTAATTTTTACAACAGAATGAGATTAAAAGAACCAAAAAACATGTTTTAGATCTATTTTCCTTGTTATTAACTGAAAGGTGATGTTGTTTTTAAATCAAAAGATATCATATAGAGGAAAATCCATTCTTCATCTTTATTAAAAAAAATTTCCTTATTTTAAAATCTAAAACAAAATTAGTCTTCATGTTTTACATTAATCCCTTTCTAGCTGACAGAATGGATGCATTTTAGCTCCAATAATGATGAGTAAACACTGGTATTAAATCTCCATCACTGCTCTACTCAAACTTTATTTCACTAGATTATACATTAAGGTTTATTGCGTTAAAACTCTTTTTAATCTGTATATTTATTATTGTGTAAAGGAGACGTGTAGAAACATGCAGCAAAGCTGCATTTAGAAAAAGGAGGTTTCAACCTGCTTAAAGAACGCTGTTTGCGCATGAATTAGTTAAATGAGTTTATAAAATGAGAAATATGGAGCGAATTTGATCTAAACTGAGAAATAACAAAGAAGTGGTCCACATGTAGAAATCGGATGGTTTTAGGTCAGCCTGTGAGGATAACATTTGCTCTCTTTTTGGGATTTTCTGTGACATTTACTTTGAATTTCCACATGAAAATCTTAAATAATTAATTTACATTAACACAGTTTTACTGAAGATCTCCTTTAATGGCTGAAAGCCTCTATTGACTCATAAACCTGCTAAGTACTGATAGAGTACATGTCCTGCCTCCTCATCTACTGCGTTTGTTCTGATCTGTTTTGGGGTCATTAGAGGTCATTAGAGAAAGGCGGTAGTTGCTGTGTTTTTTACCTGATGATGGTTGGCATGATCTCTGCGGTGAAAAAGACGCAGAGGGATGCGGTGGCTTGGGAGGAGAAAAGCCCCAGCAC